CATCGACTAATGCATGGATTTCAACACTTTTTTATACGGTTATGGTCCTTCCTGCAGCCAACGGCCCCTTGTAGACCAGCACACTCACAACAACACAGACTATGACACCCCTGTTGTGATTTTACACCAACGTGTAATGATGTAAAAACACAAAAACAAACACAGAATACGACACCATGTTGTCCAATAACACTTATGTGCAATATGTAATACGTTTTTTTTAATCTACCGTGTTGAGCTGGGGCAGTTTGCAGTGTGTGGGTAAAAGATAAACTGCTGCCTCCACAGACCATGACAGAAAATTCTGCGATTCCCATAAAAAGATATTATTTAAATGATGGTGACTCACAAAATCAGTCAAGCTTTGGGCTGTCACTCTTTCATTTTCACGTGTTCATTTTGATAAGCAATGGTGGCTGCCCACAAATGATTTCAATGCAACAAAGCCGTAAGAGGAGGGAACTGCAACCATAAGTCCAATGAGCGATAAATGGTAGAAACAAGACATTTGAAGAAATCACCTTTAACTAAGAGTATTTTCACTCTTCTGGTCTTTTTATGGACAAAATGTCCCAAAAATAATAGCATATAAATCAACAATTAAAATAAATGTTAGTTGTAGCCCAGATTTATTTTTGACTGCTGCACTGACAGATTTCCTGATTTAATTTCCTGGCAATAAACAGCATTACTCAACTAGGCAGCCAAAAAGAAAGCCCCTGCACATCCTCTTTTAGTAACTTCAGTCAGCATGGGCAAGGCATAGCGTGCAACCACAAAAATATGCAAATAAATCAAGACACCCCACCTCCTTATTTCTTGTAAGAGGCAGTGCTTATTTTCGTCTGTTGTCACTCAAGTACAAAAAATAGCAACTGGGCAAGCGAGTCGCTATATAGTGCTGAAATGAGCAGCTGTTTAGGAGGCAACATGTCAGTACTGGAGATGAAAATATGACAAATGTATGTACAGCTCTAGAAAAATGAAGAGACCACTCCAAAGTTTTCTTAAACCTCTACATGTATGTCAGCCATTCCATTTCAGTGTCTGTTGAATTCCAAAACAGAGAAATGTTGTCAGTAGTTTATAGAATTAAAATAAAATGTTTTACTCAAACAAATACCTAGAAATAGTAAAACCAGAGAAACGGATAATGCTGCAGTGGTATCTTAATTTTTTTCAGAGCTGTATCTTATAGCCGATATCACTTAATCCTTTGTACCATAGTGCATAAATGTTGCAAACATTTGATCTTATATTCATTGTTATGTTAGTTTCATTTATTCTTTCATAACCATTTATGATTTATTTTAATTTAGAATAAGCCCCATGCACATTTCCAACCACTGTAAATATTTTGATAACTTAAATGTGTATTAAACCCAGTGATGTAAAGTAACTAAGTACATTTACTTAAAGGGGACCTATCATGCAAAATGCACTTTTGTACGTCTTTTATACATGAATATGTGTCCCCAGTGTTCCAGGGAACTCACCAATGGCGCATTTCCACTACACGGCCTCGCTCGGCCTCGCTCGGCCTCGCTCGGTATGGCTAGGCCTCGTTAGGACTGGCTCACTTTATGGCGCATTGCCATTACAGTTTAGGAACTGAGGTAGTATCTATAGTAACGCAGTGTAGGCGGAGCCGTGACGTCATCTTCAATGAGAACCCCAGAAAAACAACACAGCCGTTAGCTGTTAGCACTCAGAGCTCACAGCTCCTCATATCTGTTCAGAAACTAGACAAAAGTTAAACAAGTACAAACCACAGACTGTCTGTGTCATGGCGAATACAGTCGCTGGTTTATTTATGTCTGTATAGGCCGTTGTTGTGAGTGTGGACGGTCGGAGCATATACAGCGTTAGCTTAGCCAATCTCCATTTAGAAAACACGCATTTTAAAAGGTTTTTCGCCTGCCGTCTGTCTGCAGACTTGTCAAAGCATTAATTCATGGTTTTTACTAACCGGTATCAGTATGTTGTTACTTCGGCATCATTTTGAAACGTGTATTACAATTAAATCACGGTCAAATATGTTCATCTTGTTGTAGTTGTAGCCCCCTTGCCAGCGATTCTCTCTCTAGTTTAGCATACTCAGCCCGACTCAGCCTGGTTGTTTCTGGCACTAGAACCACGATTTTTAAACTGTGAATTAGGACCCGCTAGCCGGTACTAGGCCAAGTGGAAACGCAACCAAAGACGGGCCGCTGACGTCACAGCTCTCTTAAACGGGGCTCCGCGCTGTAGTGGAAACGCGCCACAAGTGTCAGAAAACACAACCCTCTCTATTTTCCTCCATACCCAAATCTCTAAAAAAGGGGCTGCAACGGATCTGATAAAAACTGATCCAGATTTGAACACTGTCCTGACGTCAGGACGGTGGCGCTACGGCTATTGGGCCAACTTCACCAATCAGGGGAAGACCGCCACGGCCATTGCCGTTCGAAAGCGCTGGAGACGCTGTAGTACATATGCCAGGCCAGTAGATGGTGCTGTTCTCCCAGAATCAGCCCCTGCACAAACAGAGCTATAAATTGTCAAATTGAGCGAAATGAGGCATGACTAAAATGCATGATCTGTTTGGTATTTTGAAAAAAAAAAAGTATAAATATGCCTTATATAGGTATGGTCCTACACTATATTATTCAAATATAGCATGATAGGTCCACTTTAAGTACTGTACTTAAGTACAATTTTGAGATACTTGTACTTTGCTTGAGTATTTCAAAGTTGTGCTACTTTGTACTTCTACCCCAGTAGAATTAAGAGGTGAATAATGTACTTTTACTCCACTACATGTATCTAATACCTTTAGTTACTTTACAGATTTGGACTAATGATGTGAAATATAATCATGTCTTGAATCAGACTTTAGTTCCACCTGGAGTAAATTCACAAGCTACCCTGCAGTATACAAAGTCATTCAAACTAGCTGCACCTTTAGCAGCTTTGACAACACTTTGATAAATCAATCATTATAAAACACATAAATAAATGGACCAATCTGCATAATGAGTGCTTTTACTTTTGATATTTTTTGTACATTTTGATGCAAATACTTTTGTACTTTTACAACATACTGTAGTAACATTTTGAATGAAGGATTTTACTTGTAACGGAGTATTCCAACACTCTGGTACTTCTACTTTTACTCAAGTAAAATTAAGTAATTCTTCCACCTCTGATTAAACTGTACCTGAACTTTTCTTTTTGCGATTTCTCACAAAAAACACTGTACAAATGGAAGAATCGAAAAATCTACTCAACTGAAAAAAGGTTGAGTTTAACAGTCATCATTGTAAACCACCAGAGGGCCCCAGAGTAGTTTCACAAAATACTGCTAGTGACAACAAACTCACAGCCCACTTTTCCCTACAAGAAGTATTTTATTTTCACATTATAGTAACATTTTTCAAAATAACAAAATGATATAAATATACAATAAAGAAAACAATGTATATACAGGCAACACTGACTGTGGGTGTAACAGTAACGCTCTGCCTCCATTAGAAGTGTAAACAAAAGGAGGATACTGGGTTGTGAATTTTACCGTACCATCAGAGGAGACTTAAGGAGACTTCATGATTTATTAACCCCCCAGGGTTGATGTTAAAACAGTGCTGAACACATAAACAGGAGAAGAGACAACCTGCTAAAGTCTATTGTAAAAAAACAAACTAGAAAACTGTAAAAGTGCTTTTGTTGATCATGTATATTCAGAGTAAGACGTTTTAGATTAGGTTAAGACTTACACAACAGCAAGTGAAGCATTCTTTCCACGCTGGGACGGACTTCAAGAACATATCGTCCAGATCTTTTGGGTAAATATGCAAATAGGTGTGATGGGTATTCCAATAACTTCAGAGTTGTGTATTCAACTAAACCAACACTCAGCTTTGTTTCATAAAATCATTTAACATCAGGTCTAACTTCATCCAACCTGAGGCAAACCTTAATTTAAAATGTATACTGTTGCTAGAATTATTCTTATATAAAAGAAAGATATAGCTTAATGAACAGGAAGCCGTTCATGTAAACACAACATCTTACGTTAAGTGTCAAAGTGTATTAGTCTAAATACCTAAACGGAAAACAAGTGGCTTGTTTCACTGGTTGAGATCTATTTGAGGGGAACAACAAAATAATAGACAAACGTTGATATGACATGCATAAATCAGGGAGGAAATAATCTTAGAAAACAGGAAGGTCTTAAAACTGCTCTAACTTGACCTGGAAGGGATATAAATAGTGCAATATAAACTGGGCCTGTTAAACGCATTAGCCGGCCCATGTTATTGTTAACTTATAAAGTATAACTGGGATAAATGTGATCAAGATAAGCCTTATCTTTCAGTTATATGTACAAAACTAACTCAATGTTTAATTGAAAGAATAAGCATGTTGGGCTATCACATTGTTGAGATTCCACATAAAAGTGACTTAAATTAAGTCGGAATTTTGCTTGATTTTGGATATTTTGAGTAATTTAGCTAATGAATAGGTATTCTGCTGATTGAGCGATAATCCATTTGTGCATGCAACTGAACTTTTTAAATTCCTACCAGAGAACATCACATTTTTGGCTAAAAAGACAGCTTTTCTTGTTATACTAGTCTTGGGTGAGCATTTTTGTAAATGTGTCTAAAAGTTGGGAATTTAAACACAAGTAAGATTTGTCATGTACTGTGTAATATGTACTGCCAGTACAGTATAGCTTTTAAGACTTTTTAGACAAATCAGAACACATTTTTTTTTCTCAATCATACTAAATGGTTTTTGGGCACCAATGGATTGTGGTTAAATTTGCTAATAGCTTTATGGTCTATTATCAAAAAAATCCATGTACTCCAGTTGCATCTTTAACCCAATAAGACACCAGCATATTGTTTTAAGAACAGGGATTGTTTGTTAGTTCCAATTATAAAATGCTAATTAATGTTTAAGATGCATAAGCATGTTTAAAGATTCATTAGCACTGTGTAACATCTTATGTGGAAAATTCAACTAGTGACACACCTTTCTTGGTTGCGGAAAAACAGGAGGAGGACATTATAAATTGTCTTCTGTCATACAATTGTCTCTTTCAGATTTGCATGTAGGAAAAAGAGGTATGGGTCAGGGGCAGAATGTAATAAAACCTCATTTGTTATTTCTACAGGTACAACAATTACATTTGGCTCGGGGGGTTCCGTGTCACTTTGGGACTCTGTGTCATCTGAAAGTGTCTCTGGATTAGAAGGCTGTTGGTTTGCTAGAGTTTCTATATCAGCCTGCTCCATCTCCTCTACAAGGTCCACTTTGCTACCATAGAGCACCCCCATCCTTCGTGCGAGCATTCCCTCTTTCTCTGGAGGATCGTCACCTTCGTCCTTTTGACCCTTCCTCTTACATCGCTGCATAAAAGCGGCGTGGCGCGTGCAGCGTTTCAGCAGGTGTTTGCGGTAAGCCCTCTGAACGACCACAGCGGCCATCTCCTCTTCTTTGTGGCGCACCGTTGTGGTAATTGGCGCAAAGGAGTCTGAGGTTGGGTTGCTGAGGATGAACTTGGCCTCAATGCTTTCCCGCATCGCCGCCATCTCCAGCGTGTCTCCCAAGACCATCTGTATGACGGCCATCAGGACATCCAGGCAGTGGATCCTGTCCCCGATGACCAGGGGCAGATCCATTGCCATTAAGGGAATTCGGTTGGGCTTGGCAACCTTCAGTGGCGGCTGCAAGGTATCACAGAAATCTGAGAGCTGGCTATACTCAATGAACTGAGTTCCGTCCAAGTCAAACTTTTCCCAAGTTTCATTGAACATCTCAAAATCGTCCTCACAGAGCGCATCTCCGCTCTCCTCCTGCGCCACGTTGAAGTTCTCCAAGATGATGGCGATGTACATGTTGACCACCACTAAGAATGAGACGATGATGTAGCTGCAGAAGAATGCCATGCTCATGAGCGGATTGCCGCAGTTGCCCTTTACATCCGTGCCTGGGTTCTCAAAATTTGGATCGCAATCTGGGAACTCCTTATCCAGCATTGGAAGTAAAAGTGCATCCCAGCCGGCGGACGTCGTGATCTCAAACAAGCAAATAATACTGCCACCAAACGTCTCGAAATTAAATATATCGTCGATTCCAGCTTCCTTTTTGACATAGGCAAAGTTTGACATGCCAAATATGGAGAAGATGAACATAATGAGGAAGAGCAGGAGGCCAATGTTGAATAGGGCGGGAAGTGACATCATTAGGGCAAAGAGAAGTGTCCGAATGCCCTTGGCTCCTTTGATAAGTCGCAGAATCCTGCCTATTCTGGCCAGTCTGATGACTCTGAACAGAGTTGGTGACACAAAATACTTCTCAATGATGTCTGAGAGCATTGTACCTGAAATAAAAAGAGACAATAATGAACACCTATTGTCTGTTTGAACACAGTAGCAATTTTTGGTCTCTAAGAAGTTCAATTCACCTACCGGCTATTGACAAGATGACCACAACAAAGTCAAAAACGTTCCATCCGTTTGTGAAGAAGTATTGTCGCAGGGCAATGAGCTTCAACGAACACTCTCCGGTGAACACGACAATGAAAGCCACGTTCACTTTAAAAAGGAAATCTTCCTTCTCTGCACTTTGGTTGTCCGTCTCCACCATCATCGTCACCATGTTGAGGCAGATGAGCACCATGATGAAGATGTCAAAGAATTGCTGGCTAATGAAGTCAAACACCAATCCCTGGATTGGGTTCTGCAGGTGAAAGGGAAGGCAAGGAACAGAAACACAAATCCAACAGGGTCAGTTGGCCTGTTCACACCAGCAATGTGCAGGGTAAGGGGTCAACACATAGGTCACAGGTCAAGATGGCATACCACACATGCTGAGCTGATTTGTCACAACGTTGGTGTTGCATTGTTTAAACACTGAACAAAAATATAAATGCAACCCTTTTGTTTTCGCCCCAATTTTGTTGAAATAAAATCAAATAAGACTTCTTCTATGCACAAAAAAGGCTTATTTCTCTCAAAATCGTGTGCAAAAATTACACAGGTGTCCCCAAATCAGAATTTATAAAGCATTCGTAAAGAATGGATTCGGCCATTATAAGAGCTACATATATGCTTGTTTGGTAACACTGCAAACATCCACGAAAAGAAGACTCCAAAGTGGCAGGCTTCGTCGAAGATAAGCCTTTTTACAACTAGATTCTGTAACGCTGAAAAACTGCAGTCGGTTCAAGACCCAGCAGAGGACAACAAGCTTCCAGGTTTCTAAAAGTCTGTGCAGCTCCTTCAGCGACAGGCTGCTGCACCCCCGCTGTCTCACGGAGAGATACCGCAGGTCCTTCCTTCCTGCAGCAGTCAGACTATACAACCAGCACAGCCCCTAGTAGAACCCCCCCCCCCCCCCCCCCCCCCCACACACACACACCACAACACAGACTATAACACGCCCTGCTGTTAAATACCAACCAACTATGTGAAATATGTGCTATAAGTGCAATATATATATATGCCGTTAAAACTGTGCTATATATACCTGGCTGCTAAATCCTAAGAACTGTTACAGGATGTGTATTTTGAAAATTGTATAACTTTACATTTTTTTATTATATTTTGTATTATATCATAACTTAGTACTTTTTAATGCATGTAACATATGTAACATAATTATGTAACAGTAAGCTGTCTGTGGCTCTTTTTTTCTGCTGTAACTACGTACATTTCCCCTCTGTGGGACTAATAAAAGGTATTCTGATTCTGATTCTGATCTGTCCATGTGGCTGATCTAAAATGATTTTGCAAGTGAAGAAACCAGATATGGAGCTTCTTCTGCACACTTTTGATTGGCCTTTTTTAAATGTGACCAACCCAAGGAACACCTTTGTAATAATCATTCTGCCAAATAAGTAGCTTTTTTAATACATTTGTGGCCAACATTTAAGTGAATTAAGGCAGTTTTAGCATAGAAATAAGTCTCATATCCTTCATTGAAGTTGTAAAAAATGTGGGCAAAAACCAAATTGTTAATATTGCTCTCAGTTATTAATGAATGGCATACCGTTGGACGTGGAATTGGCTTCTGCGGTTTCTTGGAACCAAGTTTCTTCATGGCCTCATAGTACTTTTTTTGCTCCTCAGTCAGAAAGATGTCTTTATCTCCAAAGTGCAGACATAAATTCAAACATCATTATTGGTGTTTAAATAGCTAAGTATAAATTGAAATACAAAGAAATCACAATTTAATTGTTACAGACTACTACTTCCAAAGACTCGTGATACTTATCTTTTTCTTTTGTTGGTTGAAATTGTCAATAATGACACCAATAAAGAGGTTGAGTGTGAAGAAAGAGCCAAAGATGATGAAGGTGACAAAGTAAATGTACATGTAGAGGTTGATCTCATAAGAAGGCTGCTCCTCTACCTAAAAAGGAAGAACATATTTGAATGAATATAAATAGTTCAATACAAAGTTGTCCTTTCCCTGTTACTAAATAATTAAGTAGATGCTTGTGAGAGATGCTCGAGAGTGGGGAAGATACAGGATAAAAGGTTAAACAGGAATATGATACTGGTCAGGAAGGGCACTTGTTGATCCAAGACTGCACCATCAGCATCTGTCACTTACTGTATATATTACATATATATTCAATTATCTCAAAGTGCAGGGGTGTTGGAAAGGGAAGGCGAGTTTTTGAACTCTTGACTTCGATTTCTTAATGTTGCTAATTTCCATAAATCAAAAAAAAAGGTACTGAGTATACGTTTTGCAAAGTTTTATGGGATGTAAACTAAATAATTGTGTAATTTACCAAAAGCAAACATAAAAATATAGCACATGGAATAAATTAAGGGTCTTCTGCAAATTATATATTTGATTTTATTATCATCACAATGTCAACTTTCTATATTGTATTCGGGATCTTTTGGTATCAGAAGAAAGCTGATCTTCAAAATGAAACAATCAGTATAATAAAAATGGTTAGTTGTATTGTACATTATCACATATGTTCCTCATATCATGCTTTGCACAGGTTTATTTTAACTTAATTATCAAGTGTAGTCAGTACTGAGTAAAGATTAAAGGTCTCCCAACATATTTAATGGTCAATATAATAATATAAATAATAACTACCTCTCTTGAGTCAACAGCAGCATACATGATGTCCATCCAGCCTTTAAAAGTTGACTGAAAAAAAAAGAGCAGTGTTTCAAAACGTGTTATTCAAAAGCTTTTACAACAATGTTAATTCCAACTCTATAATAACGGAAACATCACTCCTCACCACTTGAAGCAGTGACAGGTAGCCTTGTCCCACATTGTCATAGTTGACCTTGACGTTGACCCAGCGGGCCTCCTGTGTTGCCTCTTGGAGGATCAAGCAGTCGCTATGGTTATTGACCTCCCACATGGGGAAAAGTTCAGACGTGGTGGTATTAATGCAGCGGTAGAACTTCCCAGCAAACAGGTTAACTCCCATGATGCTGAATATGAGCCAGAAGATCAGACACACCAGCAGCACGTTGAAGATGGAGGGAATAGCACCAACGAGAGCGTTCACCACCACCTGCTCAAGAGAAGACTTTGTTAGAATAACGGGATTATAAAGAAATGTACACAAATATGTATTTAGGTTGTTAGAGTGAGAAACAAGCTTGTTATTGCCAGAAAGTTATATCTGTACCCTTACCTCAGTTAGTTCTGGTACAGCATCCACGGTGTAAGCATGCATTTAACACACATTGTAGAGGAAAGCCAATCCAATTAGTATGGTATGCAAAACAATGCAAAAATACTCTATTACAAGTAAATGTCATTTTGAAATCCCACTTAAGTAAGAGTACCAGCGGCAACATTTACTGGCAAATTAATCAAGGTTAATTGCACTCATATCTTTGAGGTAGGTAGCACATTAAACAATGATGCAACTGTGGGATAAATATATGCAAACAACCTAAAATAGCCTGTTTACAAATGTTAAGTCAAATTAAAATATCAAAAGAACTCCAATTTTCTATTCGAGCACAAAATATATAAATCCAAAAACTTTAGATGACCCCTGTCAATTATGTCTATTTATTTTTAAATAGACTTTCTGGTTAGCCATACACATCCCTCAAATATGGTTGCACAGTCACAAAACGTACCCTCATGCCTTCAAATCTTGACAGCGCTCGAAGAGGCCTTAGGGCCCTGAGAGTCCGGAGGGATTTGATTGGGCCAAGGTCAGAGAATCCCATAAAGTTGGCAGCTAAACTAATCAGGGAAATCTGTGGCAGAATCAAAACATTTCCTATTCAAGGGTTACCACAGACACTGATATGAAACATGTGTGAACACATGTTCTGTTAAGTACATACAGATAGGTTAAAAAATAATAAAAGGGTGCCAAAACTTACATCTACAATGAAAAAGTCTAACCAACACCAGGCGTTGGTGAAGTAGGTCTTGAAGCCGTACGCGACCCATTTAAGGAGCATCTCGATGATAAAGACGTAGGTGAAAACTTTGTCAGCATACTCCAGAATAATTTTGATGGTGCGGCGTCTTTCTATGTATATGTCTTCAAATGCCTGCCGAAAAACAATAAGAGATACCTAAATACGTGTTCTAATGGTAATACAGTATCTTAACACTATGATAAAAGCATTTTTAAAGGCACTTACCAAAGCCCCGCTGCTCAAGAGGATCATGAAGATTATAAAGGTTTCAAACCAGTCATGCTCCACAATAGTAAAGCAAGCCCTCCTGAGGTTCCACCATTGTTTGCCTCTACCCTGGGTTATGTCCACAGTCAGACATGGCCAGCGCTTAATACAGTCTGAATGGAGAGGAGCAAAACAGGTTCATTGAAGATCATTTTAAAATGTGTGCTTAAATTACTGTTTTACGATGATTTCTCATACTGTCAGTGAAGCAGGCTTCCGGCTCTACGGGGTCTGGTTCTTCCTCTTCCACTTCTTCTGGCTCAGGCTCAGGTGGTTGATAGTCCACTGTGCTACACACTGAGGAATCCCCATCATTCAAAGCACCCATCAGCTAGTCAAGAATTACAATTAAAGCTCAGTTACAAAGCCACCATGCAAATAAACATTATTGACTCCCCCCCCACACACATTTATTTTCAGCCCATAGAAAGTTTTGATTTGTTCATGTGAGATTTTTCAGAGTTACTCACTTTGATATTTCCCAGTAAACAATGAACATCTTTATATTTTTCCTGAAATAGCACAAGAGCAGAGAATGAACTTTAGTAAACGTCAAACACAGAAGTTTCCAATGTGTATTTTTACATTTGTTTTGCTTTGTGTGTATACCTATCTGATTTGTATGCAACTTATGTCGTCTGTTTATACCTTTTTTGTTCAACTTGGACTTGGAGGTGCTTGTTCTGATAACAACATATAACATTATTTAATAAAATGTACTAAATAGAGGCTACTGAGATTGCCTGACTGAGATTTTATATTAAGTACATCATCACGCTGCTAGATTTAAAATGTCTCATAGTATCAATTGTTATTTGCTACCTGCATCACAAACTTGGCATCGTGTCGTTTCCCAAGTGCTTATATATTGTTTTAAGTGGAAATGTAATTTGACCATGCCTAATCACAGTGCCTCACAGCGAGGCCGTGTAGTGGAAACGAGGCTTAGAAAAAGAAGAAGAGTAGAATGAACATTGCATTCCTATTTAAAATCTACACAGCAGGATGGGCACAGCGGCGGCCAAAATTGCAATGGGCTAACTTATGTATGTATACATTTACTTGCAGCTAATTGTGTACTCACTGAGGCTTTTGCTTTGACAACTAAAACAAGCAGTGGAATAGTACAACCCAGTCTCACGGCATTTCGTGTTATAGTCACGAAACACATTTAATCTATTGATTCGTGTTCACCAACACGATTTTCCCCTTTTTTTCGTGTCGCACAGAACGATTTTAAAAGCAATGTATTTCTATTGGTAGTATGTTTCGTGCCTGCACCACGTCTTTTTGTCCGGTCGGGTCTTGGAAGACCGGAAGCTGTGTGGTTCATAAAAACATTTTCTTATTCAATATCAATTATTGTTTTTATTTGAAATCGTATAATGTCTGACTTTTTTTGCCGTCCGTGAGGAAAAGAAATGGGGCTCAGAATACTGAAATATGTATTTTTTTTCCTTCTAATTTGTTATTCTTTTCTAAATAACACACTGTTATTTACTCAACAATAACACACAATTAGCTTTGTTTTTATTTACTTGTTTAATTCTATAATATCGGGATTTTTTGCCGTCCGTCAGGAACTGAATTTCAAAATAAAGTCACCGGAAACAGACGTAGGCGATACACAGCCACTGAACTGATTACCCAAGATCCTCAGCTATGGTTGAAGCTCGGTGATTGGATGTTTTAGCCCCAATGCACGTTGGGATATGGTGTTTATGTGATATGAAATCCGAAAACATAAAAAATATATATATATACTTTATTCCAAGTGTGCTTGCTTTTCTCTTTGAATGTCATCACATAACAACATTGTAATACACGGTTCAGCTGCATTACCCGTTCAAGTCCAGTTTTGGATAGTCTGCCGTGGTTTCATTCAATTTCATAGAGCTGTTTGACACTCGGCGTAACCTTGGCACACTGCCACTCCAACATCCAATCACAGAGCTTGAAGATTAATCACGGGGTTTGTCAAGCAAAGGGACTGTAGCCCCAAACGATAGCTGAGGATTATGGGTAGTTTAGTGTCTTCGGCCATCCTAAACTCAGAGAAAACTATTTGTTTCTCCGAATCGAAGGGGGAAAACACAAAAGCATTGTACAGAATTTAAACCAATCAATGTTGTGTAATTAACAAGGATAAACTGATGTTTTTAGTTGATGAGTACTGCAGATTACTATGCAAACTTCGAGACCGGAAATACTTATTTCACCCCAAGCTGTTGCCTGGCAACGCAATTCTGTTGATAGTTATTTCCTATGCATTAACACCATATCCCAACGTGCATTGTGGCTAAAACATGCAATCACCGAGCTTCAACCATAGCTGAGGATCTTGGGTAATCAGTTCAGTGGCTGTGTATCGCCTACGTCTGTTTCCGGTGACTTTATTTTGAAATTCAGTTCCTAACGGACAGCAAAAAAGCCCGATATTATAGAATTAAACAAATAAATAAAAACAAGGAGAATTGTGTGTTATTGTTGAGTAAATAACAGTGTGTTATTTAGAAAAGAATAACAAATTAGAAGGAAATAAATATTAAAAAAATACATATTTCAGTATTCTGAGCCCCATTTCTTTTCCTCACGGATGGCAAAAAAAGTCAGACATTATACGATTTAAAATAAAAACAATAATCGTGGCTTGATATTGAGTAAGAAAATGTTTTTATGAATCATACAGCTTCCGGTCTTCCAAGACCCGACCGGACAAAAAGACGTGGTGCAGGCACGAAACATACTACCAATAGAAATACATTGCGTTCTGTGTGACACGAAAAAAAAAGGGGAATATCGTGTTGGTGAACACAAATCAATAGATTAAATGTCGTGACTATAACACGAAATGCCGTGAGACTGGAGTGGGTTGAATAGTAGTGTAAGCATACAGAGCCAGAGTAAATTCGTAAAATGTTACGACTTAGAGGTTGATCCACAAATGTTCAATACAAAGAAGGAAACAATGCTACAGCCAGATGCGTAACAGCTTTCTTTGGCTCATTTTCTGTAACCATTGAAGCACTAAAGCATGGTGGAATTAGCAAGATAGCTAGTTATGTTAGCTAGCTAAATTAGCAAGATAGCTAGTTGTGCAAGCTAGTTGCGCCAAACTTTAAATGCTACACTTGTTAAAGAAAACAAGGCGAATAGCGGACGGCTGCAGCTCTGGGTCTCACAGTGCGTCCACCCCACTTCCCGCCACTCCAAAGAAGAACTAGCTTAGCAAGACATCCATTTTTGTCGAGCAACAAACACATTTTAAGCCAAACTGTTTTAACCATAACAAACAGCAACAACCAACCATTCTAGTCAAATCACCAGTGAAAACAGTTCAGACTGTTCTACAACTGTAATTCTATGTCAATTGAATGTCAATCAGGGCGGTGTAATCAGATGTTGAAAAAATCTCAAAAGACCCCACACACCTGTAGTGCTTTGAAAGACAAACATATCAAATGGCAGGCAAATTACAAATTACATTATTTTAAATATCCAAAAATTGATAACTTGCATCTAAAAAGAAGGACCATGTTTATGGTTGATTACTTAGGCTACATGCCACATTGCATCTTAAACACAAGAACTGCATGCTTTGGGAGGCAGAATGGGTCATTTTGGGTGTCATTTTTGTATTTGTTTGTGTGATGAGTAAAAGTGACTGTACTTACAGAATAATGTGGATTATGTTCTTCATCTGAAAACTCTGAGTCATCAGCATCATCAACATCAGCAGTATCATCAACATCATCAGTATCATCCTCATCCATGTTTTCAAAGTCTGACTCTCCCTGAGCAATTGGCACATTTAAACTGAACTCTCCATCCACAATTAATCCAGAAGGCCCGCATTCAACCAAGCAATTAGGTATCCCATCAGCCATTTTGAAATGTTGACTGGAGTCAAAGTGGTTCATTTCAATTCCCTCAGTTTTAGGGTCCTCGTCTTCATTCGGACCCTCCTCAGTGTCCTTGGGCTTTTTATTGATAATCTGCAGGATGGATCGAACGAGGAACGCTTTGAACCAGTCAATGCCTCGTGTGATCCTGCCAATGGCGATCTGGAGATTGTTCATCTCTCCGTCTTCGTCTGTTGAGAGATTGTCTCCGCTGAATGAGCTGAGCAGTAAGGCCAGGAAGAGGTTCAGCACCTGAAGAAAGAAACATGAAGGTAATGATAAATACACTCTATGTAAAAATGTATAACAGCATTGTAAAATAACACAATATCAGCAATTTCCTAGTGTAGTTTTGTGTGAAAAACTACACTAGGAAGTAGGAAGCTACAGTATATGAAATATCTATATATTTGTATTTTACATCTGTGATTAACAGATAAATCATTATCGAGAGTGAGTGAATCCCAACTGGAGAATTGTATAATTGCACAGTCAAAGTATGCCTACTACGGCTTCAAATAAGTACTAATTTTATCATAGATTATTTGGCAATAATTTTCTGGACTAATTTAATAATTATGTCTGTAGAGGACAGAAAATATTTTTTAAATAAAAAAACTCCTGGTCAACCGTTCTGTCCCAAACACCAAAATATTTTCTTTGATATGAAATAAAACGGAGAAAATAAAAGTCCGGACTACATCAGATTCACGTGTCAAATTTCCCCTGTGATGGCACAATAATGAATATTATGTCATCTGCCTCCTGTTGCAGACGCAGCTATCTTTAGTGGCTAAACCTGTTAGTCATTTTCTCGGTTCCTATGTCCCAGGTTTAGCAGGGGATCACGATTACATGGCAGGCTGATTTCCATCATTCCAGTGAGGGAGCTGTGAATCAGTAAAGAGGACTGGAGGAAAAGATGAGCTGCTCAAGACACAAGCCAGATAGAGGAGTGGTAAAATGCAACAGAGCTTTCCAGTATAAGTGAAAATTCTAAGACAATTTACAATAACGTTTAGTTTACCCATATTGTGTTCTTGTAACTGATGACATTGTTTTTCATCTTAGCAGTAGAGCTAATCAGTACGAAGCGGCTAGCCTGTCCAAATGTAAAAATAAATCTGCCTACTAATGCCTTTAATTAACATGCACTTCTTTGTTTAATCTGTACTCAGAAGTGAGCCTCTAAAGTAAGCTTTAGATGTTTTCAAGCTAGTTTTTCCCCCGTTTAAATGTTTAATGCTAAGCTAAGCTAACTGGCTAGTGGATGTAGCTTTTCATCCAAGCGTCAGTATCGTTCATCGTTCAAAAAAGTCTTACACACAACATACTATTAAACTAAGAGCTTTTAGAAAGAATCCCGCATGCTTATTTATAATAATTTTCATCTGAGCCCTTAAAATAACATCTAGCCTACAAATTGTTTAAAAAAAAGTAGTAGTTTTCTTTGTGCTAAGGCAAAAACGTGGATGTGAAAAGTCAATAAAGAATGCAGAATAGATAGTGGGAATTCAGGGGCATTTTACACATAAAGAGAAAATGTATACCAGTAATATCCACTCCATGCGCAGTTGTGCTGATGGCCCAATATTATTAGCTCTTCATCATTTACGCTTTAATCTTCTATCAAATCACTTTTCCTTAACACCAAGTCCCCTTGCCACATGAGCTCTGCTCGCTCAGCTGTCTATGTTTGTTCCCTTTAGTGGCAGCATGCTTCCTTGAGCCGGATCTTAGCACATACTCAAGGTCAAAGCCACTGTTTGGTGGCTCGAGTCATTTGATTCAAATAGAAAGTCCCCTCTCCCTTGAAGAAGTGTATCTTTACGTCAGTGCAGATATTGTGCATCACAAAAAAGCTTTGAAAATGTTGGCACGGTGTGGCCATTGCAATACTCTTGTCAGAGTGACGATGGGCCACTTCCTTTCCATTTCTATGAATAACCTAACCGGAAATAGTTTCAGCTCTAGTCATTAAATACGATGTTGAAATCATGACAGAGAGTGATCATCATGTTTTATCTATCCCATATCCTTCTTCTGTGAGGCCTGATAAAAAGCTCCAAACTTTCAGGATTCTTCTTAAAGCACCCAAAAGTTCACCAAGGCAGTGTGTGAAATAATGCATAGGGATGTTTGAATATTACAATCTGTGAATATGGTATATTTTAATATTTCAGATAGTACAATGCCCCCTTGTGGATACAATGTTCCTCCCCAGCTGTGTGTGTCTATCCTTGGCCTCGCTCTGCTGAGGGTTAACAATAGATTGCCGAGATATGCAGACAATCTCCTAGCATTATATTAAGATAACTGTTAGATTTAGAAAGATTTGACAAAATAGTTTGTCAGCTTTACAGCTTCACAGTAGTAACAGTTGCAAGTTGAGTGGCGGCATGTGTGAGTTTGGTGATGATCATCTTGAGATTCACTGCATGCTGATGTAAGCACTGACTATAAAGACACTGACAACCCAGTCATAATGACACTCTGAGAAACATTTTTATTTTAAATCTAAATATTGTTGAGCTGAGTAACGGTCTTCATTGTTTCCTTTCAAACCAATCAGCATAAAGGGGTATTTTATCAAAAATGTCTCCCTCAGATTCAAGATAGGAATCAGCTGGGGATGAATAACTGTTACACTCACCACTAGATTTCCAATGACCATGACCATCATGAAGACGACTAAACACATCCCAGTTCCGGCCACCTCCATGCAGTCCCACATGGTCTCGATCCACTCCCCGCACAGGATGCGGAACACGATGAGGAATGAGTGGAAGAAGTCGTTCATGTGCCAGCGTGGCAGCTCGCACTCTGTGGAGATCTTGCACACACATTCCTTGTAGTTTTTGCCAAAGAGCTGCATACCCACCACAGCAAAGATGAAGACGATGATGGCCAGCACCAAAGTCAGGTTTCCTAAAGCTCCCACTGAGTTACCAATAATCTTGATCAGCATGTTGAGGGTGGGCCAGGACTTTGCTAGTTTGAAGACACGAAGCTATCTCAAACACAGGACAGACACAATAAAAGACAGTGAATAAAAATGTAGGAAGTAATCTCATCGTGGTAAATGGATACAAATGGATTCAATAATTGTGTAAATGTACATATGTCTTAATCGGAAAATGCTACATAATTGGGAATATCCAAACAAATAAATGCAGTTAATATAGTCATATTCCGAACAATAGTTAACTAATAATGTGCATATCAACGTAGTTGTTGTTTCTCACCAGACGGAAGGACCTGAGGACAGACAGACCTTGGACATTCGCAAGCCCCAACTCCACCAGACTAAGAGTGACGATGATGCTGTCAAAAATATTCCAGCCAACTTGAAAATAGTAGTAAGGATCCATGGCGATGAGCTTGAAGAACATCTCCGCTGTGAAGATCCCAGTGAAAACCTATAGGGGCATAGAGTTCAGTTTAAATTCAAGCCTGAGATGTATGAATACGTTTGGGATGAAATTGAAATGCAATGTGGAAGAAATTCACCAGATTCCCCACTGAGAGCATGTGGTCAAACTGTGGGGTCATAGGGTAGTGCTCCATGGCCATGAAGAGGGTGTTGAGCACAATGCAGATGGTAATGCCCAAGTCAACAAAAGGGTCCATCACAATAAAGAGAACCCATTTTTTCATAAGAATCCATCGCGGGGAGCAGTCCCACTTCAGGAAAGTGTCTGCAAACTTGTACCAGCCGGGTGGGCACGGCCTCTGACCCTCCTCCAACTCTAGACAAAGAAAAACAATTAGGTGGTCTACAGTCATTCTATCAAAACAGCTAACAGTGAGCAATGAGTGGCATTGACATTCATATCTGTGCCAAGTTACACTGACTGAAACAACCTGGTCTCACCAGAATGCGTGACTCCACCACGACTCCTTAACACCGCAGTGCGTGGTGGAGTCACAAACTTTGCTACATTTACGTGTACAACCCCAATGTAAAGTGAATGAGGCTCCTTTGTCGTGCTGCACACACGCATTTCTACAACGTCCAGCATTGAGCTTTTATTCTATAAAACGTTTTTAAAATCTACTTTATAGCTTGTAGTAACTCACGAGAGGCTTCTTTTATTTTATTTGTATTCATAATAATTTTTATTTTTCGTCAGAATGTATTATGGTGCATTATTCACCAATTTTTGTGCATTGTGTGTAATACAACTGTGATTTTTATTAAATTAGTTAGTTTTTAAGGAAGGCCAGAGCTTCAGCTGTGTCAAATAGATTGTTCCCTTTAGTTAACGTTATTTAAAAGATAATTATATTCCTATTTGATCAAGTCCCCTTTATTGTATTACGGACCCAAAGAGCTGAGCGTCCATTCCCATTGGATAACGGAGGATTTTACACCCGGAAGTAAGTATTCTCCTTACTGTCGATTGATTTTATTTACAGTGATATCTGCACTACTCATCAACTCAAAAACACCAGATTATCCTTGTTAATTACACAACATTGATTGGTTTAAATTGTGTGCAATGCTTTTGTATTTTCCCCTTTCGATTCGGAGAAACAAATATTTTTTCGGAGTGTGTGGATGGCAGAAGACACTACACTACCCAGAATCCTCAGCTATGGGACTACACCATGTGCTTAGAACGTGTCCAAACCATGCAATATATTACACGTTAAGTACTTTGTCAGGCTTAATATCTGTAGATACCCCCAAAGCTTTTTTCTTATTTAATAGAAGACCTTAATCTAAAGTATTCTTTAATGTTTAAATAAAGCCTTATTAGTTTGTCTGTTTTGCACATCCTCCTATCAGGCACTAAACTGTTCACTTACAGTATCTTCTTGATATTTTCTATTCTATATTATTTATATCATTGACCTTCCACTTTCCCACTATATTAAGAGTATGTACTCTTAATATTTAAATGTTTTCATCAAATATAACACATTCAAAAGTGCTTTACAAAAATGAAAGACATTAAGAAAAAGGCATTTTAAAACAGTCATTAAAAAGCAACACAATCTACCTGCATTGCAATTACTCTAAACGTGTAATAACGTGCTTTAACCAGTAGGAGGTGCGGGTTAAAAAGCTGTCAAGTTTACAGTGTTAACAAAATAAAATATACTGCTGTTTCTGGTTTAGTTTACGACGGATATATTCTGTTATTGTTTTGATATTTGTAACACAAAAGCGATGTAAAAAACCCACAGCAACACAGAAAAGATGGTCTTAACATGACCCAGCAGTCTAGTAGTTAATAAAAAACAATAATATCAAAACAAATTATTACTACTAACTTTATTGTGAAATTAAAATAGAACGGTAAAAGAATAGTTTCCGGTCTATTCTGAGGCCCGATCTCTGTAGATAAATAAAGAACTACGACAGATGTGTAATGTTTAATGCAGCCAAACCATTCATTACAATGCATTCATGTGATGACTTTCAAAGAGTAAAGCAAGCACTGCTGAATAAAGTATGATTTGATCTTTTACGAAACGTTTTTTTCATATGGAATGCAGTTGGAGGTCAACCAATCACAGAGCTTGAGGCAAAGCGGAACAATAGCTGAGGATTCTGGGTAGTGCAGTGTCTTCGGCCATCCTAAACTCTGAACAAATATTTGTTTCTCCAAATCGAAGGGGAAAATTACGAAAGCATTATACACAATTTAAACCAATCAATGTTGTGTAATTACTGGTGTTTTTGAGTTGATGAGTAGTGCAGATATAACTGTAAAATCAATCGACAGTAAGGAGAATACTTACTTCCGGGTGTAAAATCCTCCGTTATCCAATGGGAATGGACGCTCACATTGCTCTCTGCGTCCGTAATACAATAAAGGGGACATGATCAAATAGGAATATAATTATCTTTTAAATAACGTTAACTAAAGGGAACAATCTATTTGACACAGCTGAAGCTCTGGCCTTCCTTAAAAACTAACTCATTTAATAAAAATCACAGTTGTATTACACACAATGCACTGTTTTTTGAGAACAAAAATTGGTGAATAATGCACCATAATACATTCTGACGAAAAATAAAAATTATTATGAATACAAATAAAATAAAAGAAGCCTCTCGTGAGTTACTACAAGCTATAAAGTAGATTTTAAAAACGTTTTATAGAATAAAAGCTCACTGCTGGACGTTGTAGAAATGCGTGTGTGCACCACGACAAAGGAGCCTCATTCACTTTACATTGGGGTTGTTTGCGTGGTGCAGACACGTAAATGTAGCAAAGTTCGTGACTCCACCACGCACTGCGGTGTTAAGGAGTCGTGGTGGAGTCACGCATTCTGGTGAGACCAGGTTGCACTGAAATAGCCAAAGCTTAACACCATGAGGGCGTGACACTGAATATTGACAGGGATTTCGTCAGTGCACAATGTGATTATGGCAAGCTTTAACAATGCTACTGTATTTGCCTTGAGTAAAATGTGTGCACAATGTCAACAACTGTTTGATAATCTCAGTGATTGGAGCTCACATTAGAGCACATGTGTCAAACTCAAGGCCCGGGGGCCAAATCAGGCCCTTGGTGGATTTAATTTCGGCCCGCAGGATAATTTTTAATTACTATTAGATTTGGCCCGCCGGTATATTGCACGCACACCTTCACTCAATCCTGAGGATTTCCTCAGCTCAGAGCCTGACCCCAAACATTGATGAATTTACACCCAAGATGAGATGCCAAGTATCTGGCTTGAACTAGCATCACAGAGCAGCAAACTGAGTTTAATGGATGTTTCCTTCTGCACTTTTTTCTTGCGACAACAGGGCATGTTTTTTTTTTTTAAGCTGTTGTTGGCCTGTGGAAAAATGTAATCATAAGAAATGACTCTGGAAAAGCTGCAGATAGAGCCATAAGAAATGGATGCAACTGATTATTTAATGTTTAATGTTGTTTTTATAGGCAATCATTTAAGCTTTGTTAGTTCCAGGTTTAATATGTGCAATAAGTTCATTTCAATGAGTTTTGCAATAAACATTGAACCAGTCCGGCCCTCGACTAGTACCGATTTTTTAAATGTTGGCCCACTGTGTATTTGAGTTTGACACCCCTGCATTAGAGTATCCCCTCTAAGAACCAGACACTAAGCCTTGTATATTCCTTCATTGATTCCCAGAGCAACTTGACACCTCAATATGCTTACACCCTGTCAATGCATTGCTGTTGTGTTCTACAACTTGTTTTGGTTTGTTCAAAGCTACATCTAAGGGTTTGTTATGACAATTGTCGTTGCATGTTCAGTGTTAAAGGTGTCATATCATGAACATTCACTTTTTTAGTGCTTGTGCTCATCGATTTGGATATCTGGGGTGCCTACAAACCCACACTGTTAAATGAGCAAGTCAAGTCCGTTTTCAGTAGATTAGATCATAAAACATTGGGTTCAACACGCAAATCAAATGTGGCTTCCTTTTCTATATAACCCGCAGGCTCATTAGAATATACTCCCACCCATCTGATGCGGCTTTCACACCGGCGCTTTTCACTTTCTAGCTCCTCGCGAGAGCTTTTCTGGTTCAGCTCCCGTTTCCCTTTTCAGCTCCCGCTCTGTTCACACTGCCCAGAGCTGCCGCTGCTGCGTCATGACGTCAAAGTTTACGTCGCTGATTTTCTCCCACAACAACAACGGGCCGGGGACTGCATCGGGTCGTGTTGCTTTTAATCATACGAAGCCAGATTAAATTAAATAACGACTTCTCCAACCTTATACTTTTCTCCAGAGTGCCGTGGTTCATTGTTTATTAATGTGTTTCAGCGGCATTTACCGACCGCTGCAGTGGCTGCACTTCCACGGGAGTTTATTCTCCCGTTAGCTCCGGGTTAGCTCACACGGCTCTAAAGTATTCACTGTCTGACTGTCACACAAGCAGCTGATACATATCCCCAGTTCCCCTTAAGTGAATGTGTGTCAGTCTGAATTGACGCTGTTTGGCATCACAACGCTGTTATGAAAGTTTCTCTGGTATAACATGGGTGATGTTAGCATAGCAACCGAAGCTAAACTGACTACTTGCTAAGCCGTTTTCTATAGGCACATTTTACCGGCGTATTTTTTCATTATGATTCTACTTCTGATAGTCGGACATGACAACCTGTATAGCCCATGTATCTCCACAATGATCAATAACAGCGAACGGATGGTCAAAGTAAGGTTTCCTGCACGCCTCGACGTAAGCGACGCCGCGTCATAGCTCCGAAGCTCTTGCCTCTGGACCGACAATTTTTTGGAGCTGGAAGTGAACCGCTTTCTGGAGCTATGACGCGCCGCCGCTGCGGTGTGAACAGGAAAAACCGGCGCTTTTCAGGCTCTAGCTCCCAGCAGGAGCTGGAAAAGCGCCGGTGTGAAAGGGGTATTAGTATCTCCCAGTGGTAAACCGTCAGGGCCTTCAAGGTATTCAGAGAATACCCTGAAACACTCAGATAAAACAAACAAAAAAATCGATTTAATTATATGTATAAAATGTAAATAAAATGAATAAATGAGAATCGTATCTATGTTGTTGATCTGTAATATTACAGTGTTACGTTGATTTGTTTGTCTTTCTCGGTCCATGCAATACGCATGAGTGGTTTTGTGTTAGAAAATAATGCAACCAATCAGATATTTTTCTATCAAGGTATTCTATATCCTTGATAGAATGCCCTGGCCATTGCACTGAATGAGAGTGTACGATTGGATTGACAGTTTGATCAACCAATCTATTGATTTGTAGCCAATGGGCGTATTCTTTCAGAGTTTCCCTCGGTTCCAGGGTACTCTAGAACAGTGGTTCTCAACTGGTGGGTCGCGACCCAAAAGTGGGTCGCGGACCCGTTTCAAGTGGGTCGCGGATGTGTGAGTGAAGAAAAAAAAGTTGAAAAAAGAAATTGCAATTTTTTTTTTCTTTTTTGGGGAAAAAATGCAAACTTTTATTTTGAAGGACCGATTTTCTAACGCTGTGCATGCAGTAGGCGTTGGACTGGAAGTACCGGAGACCATAAATGGTTTTGAAAACGTCTGTCACGTAGTGATCATCTTCTCAATAAAACATCTCTGCTGATGTTTTTTCGAGTCTTCTGGCCAATCAGAATCAAGATTGTTGCCGGAAGTCCCCACGGAGAATAACTGCGGTAGAACTCTTCTTTATACATCCATGGGTACAACTTCAGATAAAAATGAACACATAATGAAATATGACCCCCGGTTTGATGATTGACAGGTCACAGAACAATGGGAGCTATCTACCCTTACCCACAATTTAAAGTAAATCACACAGACTATCTCCTCTTCTCGCAGCAAGATGTCAGAACTAAGTGAAAAACAAACAATGGCATAAAATATTATTAATATGTCGGGTAGTAATAGATTTATTTATTTTCTTCTCAGAGTGTACCAGAATGCGTAGTTTATGTTAGTATTTCTAAAAATCTCCTGGGGGAGAATCCCCCCAGACCCCCCTGCTGGGGTTGGGTTTTCAGCATGTGTGCCTTTTTATATAGTTCAGCTTTGATTCCATCATCTCATTAAACCTTTTTTAAAAGCATACTTTAGTTCTGTGAAGGGATATAAGGGATATATGCACTGTACTTCACTTTTATTAATATTGTATTCTCAAAAGCGTATATATTACAGCACGATTTTTTGTTGAATAGATTTGAGTGCTTCAAAATGTTGGGTCGCGATGTATTGACCAAGTAAAAAGTGGGTCCCGAGGCCTAACCAGTTGAGAACCACTGCTCTAGAAGGCCCGTTAGTTCACTGGCTCGAGACAGAGGATCTATAAATGCGACGTAGCAATTTTCCGTTTTATTGTTTTTAACGTTGAAATGGCAACAGGTGAAGATGATGTTGTTGCGGAATTGTTGCCAGTACCCTTTTCAAGACGACAATTCAGTGAAACGACGGACATTATAACGGCGGCGGCGGGGGGTGTGTGTGTCTACAGAAGGTCCAGTTGTGATAGACACGGTTCGTCACTGGTATCTCCACATACAACCTTTTAAAAAAAATCATCGCAAGCCAATCAGAAAATACTTGCCTTTTTTGGAGGGAAAGTCACTAAAACAAAGCATTTGATACATAGGGTGACTAAAGTAACGTTCAGACAGACAGTATTGGAAAAGTAATGTGTTTTTTTAGTATTTAAACATACCAACATGTTCTAGTATAAACCCAAAACACATACATAAACATGAATATTAGTACGATATGTCCCCTTTAATCTTTATTGGCACTGTACCTTCCATAGCAGCTGCAGTGAGCACACTCGGAGCGCTAGCAGACCTCTGTGTCAGGCATGGCTCTTCCAGACGAAGCATGCTGTGATCAGAGCCTAATGACTTCTCTTCGAGCTCATAAACTGAAGCACACTGAAAAATGTTGATGTCAGTTGCAAATCAAAACCATCTTTATACAACTATTTTTTTGTAAATAACTAAAACTGACTTACCTTGACCAAAGTGGGTGCTCGGACCAACAGACGGGGAATGATTCTCCCGCTACAATCCTTTATAATTTCATCATGTTCAAGGCTTTGTTCGTCATCTGCCACCTCAGATATGGTGTGATGACTGAGTGACTTCTTACTAGTTAAACTGACTTGGCTTCCTAGACCCATAGCCTGCTAGATGAATAAAGGAATACAGTGTTATTCAATTTCCCTACCAATAATACAACACTTTTATCACACTTGGTTATTTTTTCTCAATTCTGTATTAAAGAACAAAACTAAATTCCATAAAAGTTTGCTATAAGTTATCATATGGCAGCACCCACAGTATGCTAATTTAAATACATGATTGGCTGTTTCCCTTATTGCTTGTAATAGTTACCTCTTCCTGATTCCTGATCAGCTCGAGTAGCCGCTGGAACTCTTCCTCTTTCTCGATGGCCTCTCGCTGAGTTGCCTGATTCTGTTCTTCATAAGCCATGGCTACCACAGCCAGGATGAGGTTGATGAGGTAGAAGGAGCCCAGAAAGATAATCACCACAAAGAACAGCATGTATGTCTTCCCAGCCGCCCGCAGGATCTGTGTTTGGAGCAAAAAAGAAGCTACGAGAACTAAGGACACGTTTCTTTTTATAATTTAAGTAATACAAAAATTATAAGTTAAATGGCATTAATGTGTTTGCAACATATGAAAGAAGTGCCAACCAGCTGGAAAAGGTTCTCCCAGTAGTCCTGGGTCATGAGTCTGAAGAGGGCCAGGAAGGCCCAGCCAAACGAGTCAAAACTGGTGTAGCCATAGTTAGGGTTCCGCCCAGCTTTCATGCATGTGTATCCTTCTGGGCACTTTCTATCAACAAAGAAGAAGAGTCCGTCTGCTAAAATGGCTGCATTCCAATCGTCTCATTTGTTTAAGAGGTTCCTAACCAAGTTAAATGTCCCAGATGTATCTCAGTGGCAGACATGATAAGAGCTGGTTGAAAACTCTACATGTTAAGGAGTAAATCCCACTCCACAATTCCTTGGGGCAGCAATATTTAAAACTAGGCAACCCTTTTCCGCAAATAAAGTCTGCCGTTCCTGCTTAATTGTACATTATGGATAAATTAAAATAACACAATTGTCTTTTTTTTGTCCTCAAAAGCTAATGAGATCTTTCCTGACCTCATGATGTTTCCCATCAAGGTCAAGGAGAAGCTGTTTGGAAGAGACCCTGAATGTACTATCTTCTGGTCTGCAGAAATCACACTCAGGCGATCATTACCAGACAAAGTGATCATGGTGTATGTGTGTTTAATACATACCCAGCATCTGAGCTGTTTCCACAAAGTAGAGCATCTAGGCTGCCTTCCAAATAATACTGATTATCTAAAAGCATACAAGAAAAAGAAGAAGTGAGGACACAATAAACTTAAATAAGAGACATCTAGTAATATGGCTTTAGCATACCTGTGTTTTCAATGTACTCATTAAAGTTGAAGGTACTGTTGGAATATGATGTATTGTTGACGCCCATGGTGTTATTGAAGAACATGGTGTCATTAAATTGAGCAGTGGTGTTCATTTCATTTGTTTCGATGGGCCATCGCACACATTTCTGACGCAGATTTCCCATAAAGAGTTGAAGGCCAATGAGGGCAAAAACAGCAAGGGCAAAGACTGTCAGAATCATGACGTCCACCATTTTCTTCACTGACTGGATCAAAGCGGCCACAATGGTTTTCAAACCTGACAAAATACAATCAACATGTGGTTTGCACTTCTCTTAAAGTCAGACAGCAAGGGTTATACATTCATAAATGATTAGAAATACTATTAGATACAGCAAGGCGTTTTAATGTATCCAATTTAGGATTGCATTCATTAAAACTTGGAAAACATGACATTTTATGTGAAGCAAAATCAATTACTGTACTGTTTGCTTTGTGAAATTACACAAACACAGTGAAACATACAAAAATGTAAGGTAAAATAGAATAGTAAAAAAATACCAGGAATCACAGTAATTGTTTTAAGGGCTCGAAGTACACGAAATGTCCTGAGTGCGGACACGTTGCCGAGGTCAACAAACTCAGTGACATATCTGTGGAAAAACATAAAACAATGAATTTAATTCAAGGAAAGAATTATCTTTCATTTGATGCACTATGTGAGGAATATGCAATAAGATACTTTTGCTGATATCAAAAGCAACTACACCATTAGACGCAAGTACACTTACGCCATGCTGATCACCATGAAATCCAGCCAATTCCATGGATCTCGAAGGAATGTAAAAGATCCAGCACAGAAACCTCTTGACAACACTTTGATTGTTGCCTCAAAGGTATAGATTCCAGTAAAAACATACCTAAGAAGGAACACAGGCTAGTATAGATAGAAATAACATAACACAGGAATGCTACAGTAATGAAGTACTTACTCAACAGTTTTACTCCATGCTGGTGGGTTGCTCAACGTCATGAATGCACAATTCAATACAATCGTAAGCATGATGAACATGCTAAATAATTTAATTCAGGGTTAAGGAAACAAACATGGACAATATGAATAAAAGTAGCCTTTTATTTATGGCTAAACATCACTTTATTTCTCATTCAAAATGTAAAACACTATATGATAAAAAAGCCCAAGCATCAATAGTTCAAAGGATATGAATGTATGAGAATTTTGATGGCTCCTCTTCTAACCAAACTAAAGGGGCTCAGAATGTAGCAAGCCGGCTCAGCGTTGAACCTGTAGATTGTGTTTCCTTTGGTGATCACAATGAATGTCTGAAAAACACAGAGATTATATCTGTATAAATGCAGAGTCTAAAAGTCCCTCCTACATTTCGCTAAATACTTAGTGATGACAATCTTGGAATGATACTGAAACATTTAACTGTAACATTTGCATACCGCGGATGAAACGGTGTACATTGCGTAAGGGATACTTTATGCAGCTAAAATGTATGTTAAGTAATACATCCTGTCGTATTTCAAGGTTAAGTAGGGACGGAGTCAAGCTCATTAAACACTAAGTGTGTGTTTCATTGCCATGTGTGCCCCAGATGTGCCTCGACTGACTGCATTTTGTGCTTTGTAGAAGGGGTCCAGGTCCTCCAGAGGTGTGTTGAGCAGCTCTGATGGAGGGTCTCCGAAGATCATGGGCAGACTCTTGCCTGCCTCCAGATCAGCGCTTGGGGCTGTTGGCTCTTCCTCATCATGGCCTTCTACATCAGCCTTTTGTCTTTCCTCCTTGAGCCTCTCGGCCTCCGCCAGCAATTCCCGGGTAAAGGGGCGGAACGCATTGGTGCCTCGGGGAGGGAGCAGGGGCGCCATCTTCGCATCGCGAAGGGACACCACCACACCGGGGTTTCCCTAAAAGGAGCTGGAGGAAGAACAAGAAGTAGATAGAGAATATATTTTCAGATGGAATGTATTGTAAGACGAGACAAAGCAAGCCATACCCTAACCATTTTAAATTAAACCACAAACATTTTGATTTGATTTGAATAATTTTAAAAGCAAGTGTATATATGGTGTATATGTATATATATATATTTATATTTTTTAACACCCCAAATGTATAATTTATCGTAAATTAAAAAAATTGTTGGTGTTATTTATGTATTTTTTGGCAATTATATGCTTTTATCAAGACAAATGACCTTAGAGACATAACATGAAATGAGAGGAGGGAGACAGATGAGGAATAACATTCAGCAAAGATCACCTTAACTGCTAGGCCACCATGGCAAAGCATGTTTGGTATATTTACTTGGTAAATTATCTGAAAAAGATAGTATTCCCTAATCCCTTGAGCACATGTTGCAGAAGTGAATGCCTAAAGCAGCTGTTCCTAAATGGGTCCCAAGAAAAGTCTGACAGGGTCATATTTATATTAATGAAAAAGTGTTGCCTGTTCTTGTGACAATTGTTTAAATAAAGCAATCTTTGATAGAAATGTTACAATCATGTCTTATAATGGGCTCACATGTATACACCTTCGTTTAAAGGGTTCAAAAGCCAAAAAGGTTGGGAACCACTGAACTACAAGGTTAGGTTTCCACGTGTGTCTTTGATCTTTGTCCATACCCCTTAACCTCTGCCCTACATCTCTGACCCTAGACCCCTCACTTCACCACAAGCACTTCAAAGTGTCGGGATGGTAACACAATGACTGAACGCTCTTGGGAAGACATTTTGGACTTTCCCACCGTTCTAAAGAGCCCACGACATTACTTGTGTACATCAGATTACTTATTAGCTTAGCAGATACTCAATACCAGGTCCAAGTGGCATTCGCTTACATCCTTTGAAGTGTGTAGCAACCACTCTGGTTTCGTCTGGAGCAGCTTAGGATAGGCTGCTGCTCGCATGGACATAATAGGGGAGTAAATAACCCCTTTTATATAAGCTATTTTACTTTAGATGGATGGATCTCAATGTAAAACAAAAGTACAACTAGTTATGTTATCACTGTTTACTATTGTATACTTTCAGAACCACTTAACCTGAAGGGGATATTATATTAATCAATAACTACAAACTGTGTGTGCAGATGCTGAATAAAGCAAGTTGAGAGGGAAGTATATTTGCCAGGGAGAAACAAAATCAGTAGCATTTAGCAATTTTACTCAAAAGTTGAATTAATTGCAAATTATTTTTGACGAACATTTGAACATATTTAAAAGACAAACACCCAGCATAAAGTTGGCTTTAGGATAACAATACATGGATATAAGGAGAGTTGTTTCCTGACACTGTTATGCAGCAAAATTCCCTCAGAAACCCAGGTCAATCACAATTATCCATCAGAGCCTTATATAGTTATATATGAACATAATCAATGTATGGTCTACATTTAAAGTGGCAGAGGCAACAGAAAATCCATACATAGATTAAATCACTCAAACCTTCAAAACCAAGCTGGTAACAGGCTGTGCAAAGAGAAGAGACATGATAAAAACAACATTGCAACCAGAGATAGACAAAGTGATAGCCACTGATCAAACACATTAATGTAACCTCCTCAAACTGCCTCACTCCAACAGAAAATTATGCATTTGCACATGTGAGAAGACGCGCACGCTCCAGAGATACGGTGGCTGCCCAGCTGCTCCGGGCAATCAAGACGGAGCGTCGTGTTACAGAGGCCCGATGACTCTGCTCATTCCTTCCTGGCTGAGCCTTCGCTCTGCGCCTCACATCCCTCCGATAAACAGGACAGCATGCCAACTTATCTTACCGAGCTGACTCCTCTCCCCGCTACCTTCTATTTTACACAGGGGCCCCAAACACACTAAGCTTCCGCCTCCGCACCCCTTATCCGCTATTTTACAACCCCCACACCACCTCGCTATATGACACTTGAGTCTCTAATTCCCTCTTTCACACAACGCAAGAGTTCATTTCATCTTAACTCGATCACTCATCAGATCACCATCCTTAATCAATGACAAACACAACTGAGAGGGTCTCTTTTCTCCTTTAGCACTTCATGGGTCAGTTTATTCTACCAAAACTTTTAGATTGTTTATTATTATTATTATTAGACTGGGCTACCAACACCTGCCTACTACTCGCTACCAAGACCTAGTTTCCCCCCTCATCATCCTGTTTCATATCCTCCATTCTAGGATTGATGGGCCCCGCTGCCCTCCACCGTGAGCCAACCTTAAAATACCCAACCTCAGAATGGATGCGTTTCTGCAAGGCTTATGAGGAACATTTCCTGATTGCAGTACATCACATCGTTACTGCTAAAGCCATCAAAGGTGCCTTTTTTAAGAACCCTCAATTGAAATCCTGCCAATCTCAAATAAGTCCTCCAAGGAGGAGGTTGTTGCCTTGTGCCCCTTGTCAGTTAGGTAAATAATATGTTTTGGCGCTGCGGTTTGTTGCTACATTAATCAGTGTATGTTTCTTCTCACGAAAGAGCCAAGATTACAGGCAAGAGTGCAATATTCAGTATCAGTCTAAATAGATTTTGTGTGTGGTTGAACCAGTATTTGATTCAGTGGTAGATGGATACTTTAATATAAGTTAAAAGGAAAAGTCCTGTAAGATTATATTATTATCAACAAAAAAACTTGGAGTCCAAGTAAAAGTATGGCAAAATTAAGAACAATACTTGTAAGTAACAGGATGATGCACTCATAACGCCATCATGGCTACGTATTGAAAGTTAGGGGACCAGCCGCAAAGAGCGGATTGCTCTGGTCACCATAGCATTATACAAATAATAGTGATATGTACATTTCCAAAGAAACATAAAAAGCCCCAAATCTACTTGGAAGATCTACTTGATTTTAAGAGTCTAGCATAAAACAGTCTAATCATTTCATGACCGCGCTCCTTGAGTCGCTCTGAGGACAGGTGGCAAACTGAGGAAGAGGGAGTGAATGTAAGATCTCAGAAGCCTTCCCCGACAGTAATATATATATCATCTTGCATGTCAGGGAAGACCATGTGACCTGTGACATTCCGGTTGAGGATATAGACGATGTAATGTAGACACCTCCTCGTTATACTAGCCGGGCGTGGAATGCCAATGCCAATATTCACCTCCGGAAACTAGCCCAACTAGCTTTTGGCTTTTGTCCCCAGGGTAGCCAGAGTTCAAATACGACAAAAGAGGACGTTTAGTTCACTAGATTCCAGCATTGCCTGTAATGTGACTTGTGGAAAATGTGTTGAACTTGATGATGTTATCTTGTACTAGCCGTGTTTTTAACCGAGGGGTCTAGTGGCATCATATTTTAATCAATTTGAATGACTTGTTGGCCTAACTCTGATGCTCTTAAGAGTTTAAAATCCTGTGACAACTGTCTCAGTCCCCTCACAACGCAACACCACTCCTGGAATGTGGTGAAGTTGTAAACAACAGATCTACAGAGCAAACAAGGCTTTTTATCCACACGTCCTTTGACATTTGCCGTGCTCCTGTCCCACGTTTTCTCACGGGGTCAGATCGCAGCACTGTGCTTCGCCGTCTCCCTGCTTGCTTCAACACCCTGTCACCCACCAGTTAACCTTGTATTCCAAACTCTATAGGGAGCCACATTAAAAGCAGACCTCTGCACCTGTTCCTCCTTCCTACTGTGTCATTGTATGTGTTGTATTGATCAACATATTCAGAGTCACAGTAACGGTCAATCCTTTGGAGTCTTATGTTGATGTCTTTAGAAGATGTGTGCACAGTGGATCTCGTTTGCACTACATCCCAACATGCATTATGCCGGTGCTAAGAAGACAGCTGCCATCATTCGCGGTATGCCTCTCTCGATGCATACCAAGGAGCTGTGAAAACCTAGCATAATCTCCTTAGAGCATTTAGATGATCCAATGGCCAACAGCGACATAAAGGCCAACTGATGCATATATGCAAACTTTTATTAAGAGGATTAAGGCTGTCTGATCAATGCCTATCAAATGTTTCATCACAAACATGATGGTCTCCTGGATAATGGCAACATAATAACATGCTGTATCTAACGGAATGTTAGCTATCAGGGGGCTTATACAGTTTAGAGCTGCAACAATTAGATGTAACTTTTTTTATTCAAAAATGTCAGAAAATGCTTTTTTCAGTCTCTCAACTGTGGCAATGTCCTGCTTTTCTGTGTTTTATATTATATAAAAATTGATATCTTTGAGACACAAGACATTTAAAGACACCACCTTGGACTTTGAGACTCAGTCATGCTTGGGCATTTGTAATATTTTCTTTCGGACCTCAATAATGGATTAATTGTTTTGAGATTTACATTTAATGAAAATAATTGTTACATCACTAAATTATGTATAGTCTTGGATGCAAACTTAGTAAACTGATTTCTACTGCATGAAACTGACCGGTTAGGGTTAGCCTAACCTAACTGACTTTGGCCGTTGCTCTCGCCTTTTAGAAATTGGAGTTGATTGCATGTAGAAATGATATGGAGGATATTCCATCCAGCTTATGGTGACCAGAGGGAGCTATTATCATCAAGTCAACGCCAATCAAGTCTTTAAAGAAACACATGAATCCATAAAGCAACCGCTGAGGTTTGAACCACGTGGTTAAACAAAATGTCATCAAAAGAACATTAAATATATATTACTCAAATAATATTCACATAAAAGAAAAAAATGTAACTGCACGTCGAACACAATTGCACTGAACAGGGGAAGTGAACAAATAAAAAAGGTTGCTTATCTTAACCCTATTTCACCTTTGAATACACTGGAAATATAGAGGCCTGGCCAAGCAGTCACATGGGTTCACTTGGTGAAAGAAACTCAAAACCGACACCTTCTGTGTCCAAGAACATGTGATGCGAGACGCACAAACACACTCACGAAGGGGAAAACCACGGATACATCTTCTCAGTTATGCACATTGAAAGCTGAAATCAGTATTTTATACCATCTGCCACATTTGTGATGACAAAGGTAAAGTTGTCAGTGGAGAATGCATAATAACAACCAAGATAAATAATGCAATATGCACAAAAAACTCAGTCTAAGAAATTAAAAACACCACCTGATGATTCACTGCTCCCCTGCAGGAGGTCATCCTGTTACATAAGAGCTGACAGGATCTAATATGAACACCATGTCTTCCACTGTAGCTTAAGATCTGCATGGAGTCAGGCTGTCTCTGTAGTCCCACACCTCATGTTGCCACATGATTGGCGACATGGATTAACGGCAGAGAAATTGTGAGGTATGAGCATCCACAGCATCACAGTATCTTGCCCTTCTGCCATGAAGACATGAGCTAAAAATACAATGCTGTCCCTATGGGAGGAGGCATAGTGGGGATTGAGAAGGTTGCAAAGTGTCCACACTGGACATGTGGACTCCAGAAACATATTCACCTGGCAGGTGAAGAAAGCCTGGCTTTTGATGCTCATGCACAGTTTCCCCCCTCAAAAAGGTGCATACTGTACATACATTATTTTGCTACAGATTTGCAATTAGAGTAGTAAAACATTAGTGCAACACTGCATGTGATGCATTTTCACAACACAAACACCCACATGTTTGCTCACAAACACACACACACACACACAGTTAAAAACCCCGCTGAGAAGCCATAAATCTACCAATTCCAAATTTGACCTGAGCTCAATTACAGGTCCGTGTTTATTATTAGAACAAAGGCACTCATATTAATACACCTCTTTGCGTTTTTATTTCCTAGGCAGTGCAGCCTGTTATTTTCAGCACCAATGAAAAAAAATACCAAGCTTAATTTACAAGTTTCACAGACACATCTTTGGTCAGGCAAAGTCAGGCTACTAGACAGAAAAACTGCAAGAGTTTCAACACAGTGCAAATGAGAAAGAGGAGAATGTACATTATTACACCAAATAGCCAAAATCTTAAAGTCAGAAATGTGCCAAATTCATCCACAGAGGGGAGCAAGAGGAAAACTCACAACGTGAAGACATAAAGTAGCAAAAACACGTAGGCCTAAATCATCAAGTCAAAGCAAAACCTTGCACACTGCAGGCTGACAGGAAACTTTTATTTCCTGAGCTTCAGGAGTCATCTTTACGCTCACAAAAGACAACAGAGACGCCATGAAACAGGTTACCTTGCACTGTAAAGCAAATATTTCCACAGAATCCAAGCAATTTAGAAGGGGAAAAAAATCACGTCTTCCGTGAAGCCTTCCACTGGGGACGTAATTCTCCCTTCTGGCAGCCAGTGTGCTGCTGCAGGACAGCTGTTGCTGACGCAGTGGTGTCCTGCAGTGAAACCGGAGCAGTCGCTGCAGGTAGGATCAGTTCAGACCTTTGACACTTCGGAAGCACCGCCGCTTCCCAGTTCCCACACAGCTGGCACGCATTTCGGCCGGACAGGTGCTTTTACTACTTTTACGCAAATATAGAGCCTAGTGTTTGCGCAGTGCTTCAACTTCAGGTCACCATAAACTATTATAGCCATTAGACTTGCTATTACAAACGTGTAAAGCTTCGAGCACATGCATACTGATAAGTCAAGTATTTAGATGTCTGTGTTTTACTTCATTTTTGTCGTATTTTGCAATGTGTGCAATTGAAAACACATAGTCTTTTGTGAATGTGCAACAAAAATAAATCACCAGAAATCGTGATCTGGTTTAGCTGGTTTGATATCTGAGGATTAATGCATTTAGTGTTTTATTTGTATTTATAATTTTGTCAGAAAAAAGTTGAAGGATGCGAGTTTATGGATGACAACTTAATAAACACAAATAAGCTTTACATCCCAGTCCCAGACACCAGAATAAAATGAAAATATAAATTAAGGAATGATAATTATGGGGATGAAAATCACAACTTTCTGTCAGGGCATCAAACATGATTGAAAGTGGATGTGTTTGTAATTCTTTCTAACCAGGATAAGGCCAGGATAATGACTTTATAAGTACCAAATTCCTTTAATGCAAACATATAGACCTGAAACCTATAGCTCTTGATCTCTGCTTGTTAGAATACAATCATATTTAAAAAGAGATAAAAAGTTCTGTTCCATATTCAGGGCAAATTAGTGTGCCACAAAAACTGTTCAAGGACCATGCAAATGAGAGAAACAACTATGTTTGGGTTAAGCTGTCAAAAAGAAAAATACGCAGATTTCATATTCAATTTGATCAAATATCCTGTGCCGTGAGAGGGACAAGACTGCCCACAGTGAATCTTCCTGTCAACACGTAGGCTATATTTGTCTGAAAGGTGTGCAGTATGATTATACAAGGAAAATGATGTCTGTGATTACATATGTTAACTGGGTGTTATCTGATTAATGGAAATTGAGACTGCTGCAAATGTTCCCACCCTCTCTCGTGTGGAACTGTGAGAGAACTGTAAAATCACATTAAATATTGAAGAAATCTGGCCGTGGCTTTGTCAATGTATCAATGATTTGTTGGATTTGAGTGCAGATCTTAATATGTATATAAAGTGTATGTTATCTTTACAGTGTTCATACCACAAATTGGCCACATTATTTAGAAGATATAATTACTTTGAAAAATAGGACACAACATTTAACCTTACATAAGTGACATTATGGATAACAAATTATGAAAATTAAATAAAATCAAGTTACTAGTCCTTTCAAACCCTTAACTGTTTTGTCTCTCCATGAAAACTTTGGAAAAAAAAAAGATTTACAATTTAGATTTGACCCTAGCTCCACACAATAATGTCTTCAGGTCTGCTTTATATTAAATAAAGATTATTGTATAGATGTTTTAAATGTCTATCTTCACTTTGATTGGAACTACTTTTATCTCAATACCATTTAAGTAATTAAATGTATTTTTTATGTCTATCAATTGGGTGAAATTGAGATTAAGTTGTTTAACTGTCTTGTCTATAAGGGATGTCGACTTTTTGTAATATGACCCCCATTTATCTTGATGTTTTGGCTCTGTGACTACGAAAAACTTGAGTTGGTCTTCAGTAAGGGAGACTTTTTCCACAATAGTAATTTGCACAATATTTCTTATAAAACAAAGCTTGGAAATAATTGTAAAAGTTGTAATATTAGCAGTAGCAATAGTGGTAGGCTACTAGTCGTACTATTAACGGTAGTAAGAACTCATTTAAAAGGATTGAGGGGAGCATTACTGGTGTGACACCGTTACCATGGAGACACAACAGCTACATCCGGACGCTCCGTGAAAAAGGTTTGTTTTGGCGATGTGGTTATTAGTTTCGCTGCTAAATTAGTGAAATTAGTTGCCACAACATGCCTACGATACAAAAACACATTAACATACAATTACTAATTCTACTGCGGAATATTACGTCTAAGAGAGGAAGTAATACTTTAATGTTCTAGTTGTGTCCCTGTTATCTGACGCTAACTGACGATGTAGGTCTGTGTCGCCTCACTTTACGTTGTGTTTCAGGCATACTAACATGGACTCTGAGTACATAAAGAGACACCTGGGGAGGTGTCTGGCGGAGGGACTCGCTGAAGTGGCCGAGCAGCGGCCGCCTAACCCCGTCCAGTATCTGGCCCACTGGCTCTACAAGTTCAACTCTAATGCAGAGTATGAGGCTGAGGTGAGCTGCTGTTCCGTTACCTGCCGCTAGAGGGAGACATTACACAACATAAGGTGTACACACAGTGTGATAGAATATTCTAGGGTGGAGGTTTATGGTATATTGTTGTATTGTCCAATTACATGATCATGTCTGTGTTATTCTAAAATAAAATGAAGATCTGCAAAATGAAGCAACAGGTATCAAAATATTTTTAAATTAAATACAAATTTAACAATAAAAAAGAACAATATAAAGGTGGAAACAGAAAGCATGCTTGTATCCATCTTCTATTATTGTTGTGTATTTTATTCTAATTTATTTTGTATTATTTTAACTGTCTGATTTGCCTCATTGAGTAGTTTTATTTTCTGATAAGTTATACTTTTACCATAACCCCAACATATCAGTACTGTAATGTGGGCAAATCACATCAAACTGTTAAAAATTGCAAAAACAAATATTGGAATAAAATCCCCAGAGAAGATAAATACAAACATTAAATCATAAAACATGTTTCAAATAAATAATGTTCAATGCCCTTACACAGTAGACTACGTTTTCTAAATAAAGGGGTTAAATTGCACTCCACCTCTGCGAGATCACAAAATGTAATGCAGTCCCTCAAGCTTGTTTAGTTAATAATACACATACCTACACTTAAGCCAAGTTTGTATGAAAGACCCTTTAATGTAATGGACTTTTGATATAGCATTGCTACTTTTACTTTTAAAGATACTTCTTGTTCCATAAGCTCATACTTCTACTGAGCAGGAAAGGATAACACCGACTTAGACAGTCTAAGCTCCTTAAGCTCCTTAAGCTGAGTGCTATAAAGCCTATAGGTGCTTTGACAACAAACACCAAGTCACCTTTTACCTTTAGCTTAGATTCAGAAAGTGCTAACAGAGTCCTGCATGTGTGGAGATACAGCTGGAAATGAAAGGTCACAAGGTCAAACCCTTTACAAATCTTAAAAGGGCACTATAACATGCATGTATCAAAAGTGCAAACAATGTATCGTAGTGTACTAGTGTACAGACTTTATTGTTATTTGCAGAAAAAGGCCAATTTGGTGGTCCTGGAGCAGGAGCGAGCAAAAGCAAGAGAAGAAGCGCTGCACCAGGAGAGGCTGAGGGAGGAGGAGAGAAAAATCAGAGAGGCTGACGAGGAGTCTAAAAAAGTATGTTGAGTGAATAAAGCCCTGGTTTGACCTAGACTCTGAATACAACACATTATTATCACTGTATTTACCTTTGATCATCTATAAAACTCCTTTTAATTTATGTTTCTTGTTCCGTTGGAAGAAGTGAAGTTACTTTGTCATTTTCAGAAATAGTTTTGTGTGACAAGCCTTTGGAAGGTGAGCACTTTCCCTGTTTTGAGAAGGACATTTTTGTTAAGACCGAGAGTTTTGAGAAACCTCAGGCAAAGGTACAAGAGAGGAAAGGCATCACTTTAATGTACTCCATTTACAATCCAATTGGAGTGCATGTTTTACTTGACATGCCATTTTGAGCATAATCCTTCAAGAGCAAATCACAACATCAACAGATCTCTGAGAAGGAGGATTCACCCAGAACAGCCACAACCGGAGCTGCTGAGGACAACAAGCCTGTGGCAGAAGAGAAACCAAACACCCCTGTTCCAGAAGTGCAGGGGGACACAGACGAACACCAAAGCGATGCTCAGGAAAATGTGATTGAATCGGAGGTGATATAAAGAGAAAATAGTTTTTTTTGGTGGTGGTACCTCTCTGATCTTTTGCAATCACTTCTTTGTTTTGATTTTGGCTTTTGATTAATTTACTTTTCTGAGGTGTTTTCAGTGATGTTTATTATTCTACAAAATGCATGATAATCCTCGTGTGGTGTGCAAAAACCACCAAATGATTCCAAATTGTGTATATGCTGGGTGAAGGTTACAGATAATGAAACCAGTCCACAGTCCCCTGAGAGGAAACCTTTGGAGGCCAGTAGTTCGTCCCTTTCGGAGGTCAAAGAGGAGTCTACAGATATCACTGTTGAAAAAAGCGAAGTGGAGCCGAGGAGCGATCAAGAAGAAGAGAAACAAGAGGAGGGGCCAAGTGTCAATCAAGTAGAAGAGGAAACCATAAACACGGATCAAATGGAAGTGAAAGGAGATGAGGAGAAGGTGATATGACCGAATTAAATATTTTCCATTTCAGTACCATGATGTGAAAAAGTAGCTAGTATGAGTTATTTTTTAAACAATTTGAGAGCAGATGGCAAAACATCTGCCTTTGTTTCACTGTGACGCTTAAATGACATGTTATTCTGTCTGAAATTGTCTCTGCAGGTGGTTGATGGAGCTGACACGACTGAATCCGAGCGGACTGAAGCTTTACGCTCGACTCCCAGTCGAGACCCTGATGACTTAGAAACTGACAAACCAGACGAGCTACAAGACAAACAAAGCCCTCGTTCTCCCCGGGACACAGAGAAGGTGATGAAGAATGTGCATGAGAAACATGTAGGTTGCCATGTTTTCAGACTGAGGATGCAAGAGATGCAGGATACAGAGCGAGGAAAGATAAGGACAGATGAGCAAGGTTAAGAAGAAGATATGAGGCAATGTCAGATGAAGATTCAAACATTCCAGGCCAGATGATGTCAGAAATGAGCCGAGGAGAGAAGATGTTCAGGTCAAGAAAAGGCATGAGTCAGGGTCATAAAAAAGGCAGGTCTACACATCTACTAATTGTTCTACATCACACAATTTCACCAGCAGGCTGATGAAGATGAAACTGGTAAGTTGGAGTCAGCACCGCAGACTGAAGGGCTCAAACAAGAAGAGACCATTTCTACTGAAGAAACCGAACAGGAGACACAGAAATCTGGTTCTCCGCCTCTTCAGGAACACGAAAAGGTAACACATTTTTGCAGAATAACTCTTTTTCCAATCTCTGTCTTAATCTTTGCAAACACACCAGATAGGGGAAACACATGCCGAGGGAGACAGCAGTGTTTGAGTTTGAGAGACAAAATGACTTAGTAGCACCAGAAAGCCAGACTGCCATATAATCAAGAGATAGAAATGCAAAGACACACTCGTTTAATGCTTAACCAGAGCTCTACTGACCACCTGATCTCAGGAGGCAGACGGACAACTCACAAGTGAGACCACTGATAGCTCGGCTCCAGCTGACGGTGACATAACAAAAGAGGGGACAGAGCTGAGTGAGAAACCAAAAGAGGAGCCGGAAGACTCTCCTCCTGACACAGAGGACGTCCAGGAAAAGGTAAAAATGGACAGCAAGTGAAGCTTGGGAACATACACGACAGAAAGTTGCCATTTTGTTTTGTTTCAGTGGTGTAAAAAGTTGTAACAAAACATTGTGTTTCTTTTCAGGAAGAAGAACAAGATGCAGATCATACGTGAGCAAGGCAGTGTTTTACAATCCGGTTTAAATAGTTTTGGTTTAATGTGAAAATATAACACTTCTGTAGAAATAAACATTTATCCCCACTATATATACTTTTTTGTTTATTCTAATATCTATTTGCTTGAAATAGTAAGCTTTCTTCTATGATTAAACAACAACTGAGCAGGCAAGAGGTGAATATTAGTGCTGATGGTGACTGTGACTTCCTGCCAGATGAATAAAGTCAATCTATAAATACAATTCAGCTGGATGTAATGGAATACATGAATATTTGTTCTAATTGTACAAGCTTGTAATATCTTGCTACCATGCAATGATGAGGTAGAATATATATTACTTAACTAAAAAATCCAACTGTGAAATACAATTCTTGAATTAAAATATTACTCACAACAGTTATATTAACATCAGAACATACTTAATATAGAAAAGGTATTAGTAGTATGCATATTGGCCCATTACAAAATAAAATATATTACACTATTCATATATATATAATATTTATATATTATTGTGAGCATCGCATCACTGTTCTGACAGAGGTGGAGCTCATTGAACTACTGCATACACTGCTGGGTAGCGTAATCTATAACTAGTATAATAATGTGTTAGGTAATTTATATTTTGGATTTACAAATTGAATCTGAAGGGCAACTACAAAGAAACTCAAGCTGGATTTATAGATGAAGTGGAGTACAATATTTGCCTCCAAAGGGTAGTGGAGTAAAGTGACATAAACTGGAAATACTAAACTTCAATGTGTTGACTTAAGTGCAGCTTTTGAGTAAATATACTTACTTTCCACCACTTCTGCCATGTGTAACATTTTCCCCGAATGACGGTGCAGTTTTCCTTCAGTGACCCAAAGGTCACTGTGTCCCTCCTCCTTCAGGTCAAAACCTGAAGGAGGAGGGACACATGCTGGGAAGTATAAAAACGACTGTTTAGTATTTATTTTTCGGTATCTGCTGCAGACTCGATGACGGCGCCGCTTATCAGACACAGCTGCAGTTAATCACGTGTTTTCATCAGTATCTGGGTCCAAAAAGGGGGCGGGGTTTGGAAGGATCAACTTTAGCTGGAATTTAAATGCGCTTTTTAAGCGAGGCAGCTACAGAGAACTTGTCAAAGCCAGGATGCATTGAAGTAAACGGACAGAGAAGAGCAATGGCGTTAGGAATCATAGCCCCGGCCTTGGCTGCCATTGGTAGCCTCATATCCGGATTTATGAATTATTTCACTGACATGTTTCTGACAACTCCGCTGAAAGCCACCCTCAAACATTTGGAGGAGACCGAACTGAAAACCCTAAAAGGAGGCGAGTGGTTTTTCTCCACCAAAGAATGCCAGAGTTGTTATTTCATTAATTGTCAAAAGGGTGTTGAAATGAGCTATTGTTAACTCCTGTTGCTCAACTCTTTTACCCTTTGCCTTGTTTCCTCACAGAAACCAGAGTCCTGAAAGCTAGGTCTCTGTGGGAGGGGTCGGGAGCTGTCATCATGGCAGTGAGGAGACCTGGGTGATTTTTGTGCAGAGAGGTAATGTCATGCCAGTGTTTTTAGTGTATTCTCTCCAAATGTCTTTATGACAGTTATTGGCTTTATGAAAGGGATTTTAGTATTTTTTTGTATTTGCCAAGTCATTTTATCCCACACTGTCTGCCATTCTGTATTGAAGCTGGTGTATGGTCTTGATATTGAGTAACATATTTAGATCATAGACTACAATCAATTGAAGTATTATTTGTGTCTTCTACATAATTTTATAGAAATGTACCCAAAATCAATCTTGATGTATTTGGAATGCAAGTCAAATTTCAGACTTGATCTAACCATTAAAGTATTATCGTCGTATCTCTGGGAACTTTCTATAGTCTTAATTTGGAAACTAAGACAGTTTTCTTAAATTGACATTTTGCTTGCAATTTGTTGCCTTGCCAACAAGATCGCAATATATTGAATCTTAACACCTGTAGCTGTTGCCATCATTCTACCAAAGCCCTAGTTTATCATAATGTATGCACCTTCAAATAAACTACGTAGGAAATACATGCAAATTGACAACAGTAACCAAAACCTTGAATTTGTATAGGCCTATATTTACCAGTTGATGTGTGTGGCTTCTTTGTATTTGTAGTACACAGTGAGTTTTTGTTCACATGACTGTTTGAATCCTCCCCGGCTGCAGGAGGCTGCAGAGCTGTCCTCTCTGAAGCCTCAGCTGGATGAGCTCGGGGTCCCTCTGTACGCTGTGGTGAAGGAGGACGTCGGCACCGAGGTCCAGAACTTCCAACCGTTCTTCAACGGGGAGGTCTTCTTGGATGAAAAGGTGGAATTATTTTTCTGTTATGAATTGGTACTTTGTGTGGTCAGTTAATAAGAGTCATTCAGAATCTGTGAAGAATCAGTTTAGGTCTAAATGAATGAATATAGTCTTCTGGTTTGTCTGCTTCATTTGCAGAGACGTTTTTATGGACCCCGTGAGCGGAAGATGGGTCTGCTGGCATTCCTGCGTGTTGGGGTGTGGATGAATGGCCTGCAGGCTTTTAAGAGGGGCTTCATGGGAAACATTTTGGGAGAAGGCTTTGTCCTGGGTGGGGTCTTTGTCATTGGACAAGGACAGCAGGTAAAACCTCCTTCAGTCAAGTTGTGTTTGAATACACCACAGAACACACTTTTGCTTTATATGGGAAAAGACATGTCAAAAAAGCACACTTGGAACTGTATAATGATGTTTTTTGTCCCATTTCTCCCACAGGGAATACTTCTGGAGCACAGAGAGATTGAATTTGGAGATAAAGTCAATGCTGAAGATGTCATCCGAGCTGTCAGAAGAATAGCACAAGAACTTCAGCCTTTCGAGAGCAAATAATGATCTGTATTACCCATGCAGGATAAGAACAAATATATATCACAAAGTATAAAACCAAAATGACTCCAAGCTATAAGAATACAAATATGAATGCATATGTAGTGGTTAGTGTGTGACAAAAAAAGGATATTTGCAAAGTTTGTTGGTGCACTGGTCTCGTGGAAAACCATGATAAATGTTGTGGTATGACTGTGAAGTAAGAGGCTCCGAGTGTGTTAATGATGGTCTGTCTTTAAACTCAAGAGGGAGCAGACCTGATGTCAACACTCAGTTTCCTGTTTTACACTGTGGTACTGTTGTGTTATCTTGGGAACCAAGAAACCCTTTGACCAATAAAACGTGGCTTTGTGGTCCATTGTTTGTTTTTATTCTTACTCGCTATTTGAAAAAATGTGTTCAGATGTTTGACTCCCTGACAAGAGTCATCAGAGGTCCCATGGCAGAGAGAGAGAGAGAGAGTGGGAGTGTTTTCAGAGCCAACATGTATAATCAGTCTGGTTTCCATCATCGAGGCTGCCTTAAAAAGTCATTAAATGTAAGGACTTTTAACAGCTTTATTTTTGTGCATTCTGCTTCTTAATTGAACTTAGATTTCTGCTTAATCGAAATATTAAGCACCATTAATAATCTAGAACTGCGAACAAAATCCCTGCCTTTTTTTTAATCCAAACATTACATTTTCAAGTAATATAGATAAGATATGATTAGCAATATATCGTGATCACTATTTAACAACAAGGTACACCTTACATCAGCCTCTTTCTTTAGTAGAAATACTAATTTTCTGCCTCCTACTCCTGACACGCTGTCCGTTGATTGACATACAAGTCATCCAATCAAATACTCTTAATTAATCAACTGCAGCCAATCGCCATGGCCATGGGGCGGAGCTTATTACCACTCAGAGAAATGCCCCAGCCAGGTGCGTTAGGTCATTTTGCACAACATGGACACAGGTAGGCTAGCAAGCTGACTTTAGTTTAGTTATTTACAGAATGAATGTGAGGGATACACGGATAACTGTTTGTTGTCATCGTCAACGTACTGCCCATGTTAGTATGGCCGTTTTTTAAGAAAAAGAAGAGCTGCCTTGCTGTCTTTGTTTTCGCCTCGAAACGTAAAATGTTCGGTATGTATTTTATTTTTTTATTTACATTTGTTCCCCAAAGTGTGACATTTTAAAGTTGAGTAGCAAAAAATAAGACTCAAGGAAACGAATTTATCTTAGTTTCGATAATTAAACGTTTTAAATGTCGCCTTTGTGACTGTTTTCTTTAACTTCGCTCTCCGGGGTGCTGAAGCACGAGCCTGCTGGGGGAAACCCCAAGCAAACGACATGAGGACACACACTGTCAGCAAGGGTTCAGTTTAGTGACATGTAGTAACCATGGTATCAACACCATGTGACATCTTGACTCTTAAGTGGGTCAAGTCTGAGCTAAAAACACCTATACAATCCTGTTTAACCTCACCTGCAGAGACACATACAGTACATGTGTTGGCCTTTGTTACAATGGCCTTGATGTAATTTGAGCTTCAATGACTAGATACATGTGTTAATGATGCATTGCTGTACTTCATGTCTTTTTCTGTGAGACTCAGACAGGTGAGAGAGATGCAACATGGGCAGGATTGGACCAAAATGTGAGTCCAGGAAGCCAACGAGTCAGCTGTCATGTCACACAGCAACCTGTGTCGGTGAGTTGGATTATCCGGCCATTTCAGTCTACTGGCAAACTACTGAGAAAGACATAGTCTGTGAATGATGGAAACACAGCGGACAATTTGCCTGAGGATCCCCTTCCTTCTGCTATATGCTGCTGCTGTAGGCTCCTCCACCCGGAGCTGAGTCCCCTGTGTGAAAGGGGACCCTGCCAGCCTCCATGGCTCACTCGTCAGACCCGTCCCGCAGGGAGAAGACCCCCGGGACCCAAGGGTCACACACGGCTACCCGCAACCTCTTACGAAAGAAGGAGCAGCGCCGGCGTGGAATCCGATCCAACTCGCCCATGGGCCGGGTCATCCTCATCAACTCTCCTGTGGATGGTGAGGAGGAGTTAAGCTGGCTGCTTGTGTAGTGCACATTACATCCTGCTGTCCACTGTGGATAAACACTGGTTTAGAAGTCTGACAAAGAACGGTTGGTCATTTCTTTTCTGAAATTAAGATCCGGATTTAAATGTGGCAAAGTTGAGACTTATTTGGATACCTTTACTTATCTCACACCTGCATAAGACTGACCTGATCTCAAACTTCTTGTCTCAAAAGAACATGTAAAAGGTTGTACATTGCTACACACTGTCATCATTGAAGAAGCAACATTACATCATAGACACAAAATGAAACAATATCTTAACTTGGCCTGAATTAATCAATATAATGGAGTCAATAATTAATAATGCACCAAAACATTTATCGAGCATTTAACTCAAAAACCACAGAATACAATGATTAAATGTAGTTGTTAATTAATCCATACTAAAATGACTTAACTAGTTTCCTTGATTGACACCTGTAATCTATAATGACGTGTTTTTCTTCTTTGCTGCCCTGATTTGGATTGAAATTAGCATGTTTTTAGGGGAGAAACACGGTTAAAATAAAAGTAATCTGGACTTTTTTGAAAGTTTCAAGAATGTAGAAGACTATTTTGTCCTCAATAAACCTTCTAGCAGAAGTAATCTTGACTTGCATTAGATAATGGTTGATATTGGGTAGTAGTAAGAGAGAACCACTGCTCCATATTACAAATAGTCAAATAGGAAAGTAGTCGGATACAGGCCTTCATGAATGACATTAATAATTATAATAAGGTGAATTTCTTCTAAGATTAGTGACCATCACTAACACCGCATCCATGTGATATTATTATTTAGGTGGAGATGACTGTGAGGACCTCCATACGATCACAGTGGATAAGAGTGTGGACGGCAAGCTGGGCTTCAGCGTGCGAGGAGGCTCCGAACATGGCCTCAGCATCTTTGTCAGTAAGGTGGAGGACAACAGTACAGCAGGT